GCCTGGTAAATCGCCTGGTGTACAGATCGTTTGTGTCTATTTGAACGTAATATGGCCCCTCGTTAATTGCCAACGGCTAGCATTATAACTATGTACAATCCTATCTAAACATTGAAAATACACTCATTATACCGCCATCGAGAGTGATGCTCGGTATCGGCTGCTCATTTGCTATAGATCAGATCCCACATCCAATCCATAGCTCTAGATCGCTCAGATCCCATCAAACGAAGTTTATTTAAATATTTATTGTTTTTCTAGCAACTGGGAGCTATTTAGTGGGAATATTACACTGCAATGGCGATACCTCATTATAAGTTAACGCTAATATTTCCCAAGGCCTTATAGAGGTGGTATTGCAAGGTTATACTGTATGTGTCTGCATAACTAACAAGATGCAATTTCTTAACTGTAATATAAGCCTTCCATCTTAATAATTAAGTGTGAAATTCCTCATAAGTGATATTTTTATGTTCAGCAAGAGCAGGTACTGGCAGAACTGGCACACCATGCGTTATCAGCAGACAAGCCACAGCCCTCCAATGCTGCAACAACCATCATGACTAAAGACTACCTACAGGCCTGCAACTTGGTATTCGAAAATGGTCTGCTGAGCCATGAAATGATTGACAGGAACCATCCTAAAACAATGGATAACATCAGAAAAGGCTACCAGTTTTTTGAAGACTGGTTAGAGACATTGCTAGGTAATATTTGGTATATAGCATTAACATAAAATAACGTATCTCTACATGTATCTCTTTATAACAGGTTTTTTAAAACACGTTTAACACCGACTTGTTAACATTGGATCAATAGCGATTGGATCTATCGCATATTCTCATATGTTTTACAACGAGTTTTCACCTCGTTGTAAATAGGAACAGCATTATAAATTATACCGTTATATCTCTTAAACTTTATTATAAATGTGGTGTACATATCTGTTTGCAATTGTGATCAAGTCAAGAACATGAAATATTAACATGAAAAGCCAGCAACTACATCAGTTGGTATTTTCGCAACGAGTCCCATCTATTGAGTGTAACTATATTTACCACGATGATAATCCAAGTTTAGCGGCGGTCTATTTGACAATGTTAGCATGAGTGCACTCATGTTTCGCATGCGTGCGTTCTGCTTGTTCGAACGAGTATACTTTCGCTTGGTAACGTGTTAAACGAGATTCAAACTATGTTATTGCTATTTTTGTGGCAATAACTAGAATATTTAATAATTATCTGTTTGCAGATGAGATTTCCCAACAGAGGGAGGAATCATTCCACTTGACAAGCCCCAAAGAAAGACGTTTCTTGTCTTGGCAGGTGAATATCGCTATAATATACATCGAAAACATGGAACACATAAACGAAGTCATACATAAGGATAAAACAATTGTAGCAATAATCGTAATGGTAGCGTTCACGATGACAGAAGTTGGCCATGTGTGGGGGGGAAAACCATCTGCTAGTGTTTGTGCCAGTGGGACATAGTGGGAGAACACAGTGAGTTCATTTATGACCTATATAACACAGTGAGTTTATGTTACCTATTCTTTCAGACATGGGACCTTCTAAGAGTGATGTACTTTGGTTTCACGGGCTTGGTTTCAAGTTTCATGGAACGGCATCCAGATCACTTCATATCACCACTGAGGATTAATGGAAGTGCTGTTGAGACACTGTTTTCACAGTTTAAGGCTCGAGCCGGTGGTAAACTTAGTTCATTAAACTATGAGACATCTCTCAGAAGTTATTTGACCAAGAGAAACCTAGCAGTAGCAACAAAAACCATTCATCATAGTGCGAGAGGCTACAGAGATGTCGAGCTTAAGATATCACACGCACCAATGGTAAGAAAAAGTAAGAAGTAGAGATTGCACGTAGTATGGCTGCTTCAAAACTTGTTATACAGCTACAACACCGATTTTCCCACGTGGCGACGCGGTTACGGGGTTTTCCGCGGCCATCAGTGTTTGGAAAGTCGGTGTTGTACCTGTACTGGTATTGTAATGTTCATTGTTTGGTCTAGGTAGAAGTTACCAGTAGCCTACTGTAAGCCGCTTGGGAAAGTCATTAGACTGTGGGAGATCGCAACTTCACGTATAAGAAGGCGATTTTTTTTAAGTCTTTTTTGGAAAAATGTGCATCTTATACGCTATAAAGTACGGTGTGCTTTACTTCAATTTTGCAATGCACTGTTTTCATACTGTTTTAGATAACAAAGAAAGCCATAGCAAACATAGTTAATGCTAATTTGATATATGTCGCTACTGTTATTTCGACAGTAATCAAAAGGTCATGATACAAATATTTAAAACATCGTTTAGGTTACGTCCAATTTACTTTTAACACAACTTACAGGTTGTTCTTCGGAGTTAAATCTCTCCTTTGTAGTGGTGAACCCTCATTTTCTGCCTGAATTTGTCGTGAACGCTGAATACAAATTCATTTAGTCTCTGGCATGCACAAACTTTGCTGCCACATTGACGTGAAAGTTGAGTTTATTGCTTATCACTGCATTTGGTGATTGTTCCATCAAATAGTGTGTGTCGAACGCCTCCGAGTCGTCTTCAAACTGCTTGCTATTGCACCTGAGCAATTTGTCATCTGTATAAACGAAGGTGAGCGTATTGATATGGAATCAAGAGAATGGATATGGATGCCCGTTTTAATGGACTTATTTATCCAGCAAGAGTGTATTAGAGGGATTCTTATACGTCTTGATTTGATGCCGATTATCTGTCCTAACTGCATGCTATAGGCTTTCATATATTTACAGTGAAGTGAAGACAGTCTTATTAGTAATGGCCTTCTGGTTAAAGGACTACGTCAGAATTTTGCCATGGTAAAAGTAGAAACGGTTATAGATATATCCTCAACTCTACCTTGCTAAAATATGTTTTTCGTTGGTTAAATTTGCAAAATCTAGAGTTTGGTATTTCTGATTGTCTACAATATTTCCAGTTTTATGTTAGATACTGGCGTCTCTCTGTTTTTCACCGGCAAATTAGGGCATATAAAGAAGGTATATAAGCATGAAAAGTAAACAGAAACCCTAATTGTATATTCATACAATTTATTTTGTACAAATAACACACAAATATACTACTTGATGGTGCTAGAAATTCGTGACGTAATCACTTTAAAGACATGTAAGTTAAAGTTTTCAGTCAATGTTTAGGATGCTATTATAGTATTACAAGTTTTCCATTGTATGCAGCCTATAATAAAAGGGGCACGGTCAACTCTGCCAGCTTTTTGGTGAGCTCAATTTTCTGTACACTGATTCGCCGGCTTGATCGTAAAATGTTTCACACGCCCTAACGTCTCCAGGAAGCTTATTTCAACCTACGACATGAGCTGTCCCACCTTCAGGCGAGTGAGCTCGCCTGAAGGGTCGGTTTGGCAGCCGCGGTTTGGCGCATGTTACCTAATAAGGTACTTGCATGTATATATGTGTATGTATGTATATATATATATGTATATAAGGTCATTATATGCGATGTATGTTGGATTTAAGTATGTACTGTCATTTGTCATGTTTATTTGGATTGTAATTTAAATACATTTAAGTATAAAATAATCAATGTAATTAATGTATTGAGTCAGTAAATTTGTGTAAAGGTATACTGTATGCATTGCTGTATAGCTTTTTAGTGTGGGAGATTGTAAAACTTGTTATAAACAAATGCTTTCTAATTAAGAACATTATATTTGTTTTGTTTTACATCTGTAACAATGTTAATTATTTCACTAATTTAAGCAAAAATCATTACCTTAATGAGGTCTTTGCCATGTTGATTGAATGCATCTTCATTCGCGTTAAGTCTGACAACATTGTCCAGTGTTCGGAGCCATGTCAGAAATGTGCGCTTCGGTATCCACATGTACCCTAATATTTTTATTATTATTATTAAATCTTTATTGCATGTAATTCAGACACAAATAAATGTACTGACGACATTTTTTTTATGGAGAAAAAATCGGATAAAAGCAATAGTGTTGATTAATAGTTAAAGTGGAAAATTTTCTGACTGATACAGTAAGAATACACAACACGAAGAAAAAATATATGCAAAAAAAACTGCATATTCTGTACTAGTACAGTGAAAAAAATCTTCAGTCAAGTCTGTACAAGTAAAGTAATTAAAGACTAAAGTAGTCTACATCATTTTGACACTCATGCGTACCTCTGTCTCTTGCCACTAGACCAGTTGGTAGTGAAGCCAGCTTTTTCTGGGATCTGGTCAAAGTACACATTTTCGCCAAGTTCAGCATTTCAAAATATTGCAGCAGCAGCAGCAGAGCCAGCAGCAGCAACAATCAGTGCAGCAGCGCAGAGCAGCAGTAGCAGCAGTAGCAGCAGCAGCAGCAGAGCAGCAGCAGACAGCAGTAGCAGCAGTAGCAGTAGCCAGCAGCAGTAGCAGTAGCTCCAGCAGCAGCAGCAGCAAGTGCAGCAGCAGCCGAGCAGTAGCGCCAGCGTGCCGCCGCTGGTTGCCGTGGGGATGCATGTATGATCCGCATCGAGATTTGCACGGGGGAATGAATGTGTCCAAGTACGTAGTCTTCAGGCGTGGCAGGAGAGCAGGGATGCACAATCCGCAGCAGGGAAGCTGAGGGGTGGGGGGAAGTCTTTGTACGTTGGGGAGATCT